AAATTCTTTCAACAGCCAACCACAATACTGTGCCTCAGTTAGGTCTTTTTTAAAGAATAATATATTGAATATATATATATATATATATATATATATATAATAAAATAGTTATCAGTGACTTGTAGAGTTGTGTTCCTCTGTGGAAGTTTGTATCATAACAATAATGTTAATAATTTATATGATAACTTTTTTTTGAATTAGGAAACAGTTACTTGCAGGAGTGGGGATCCAGACACAGTAACATATACTCAAAAAAATTCAAGGTAGGACATCAAAGTATAGACGACTATAAAAGTAAGGGCCATTTAATATTGTAAAGCTTTAACATTATATACTTGGTAATATTCAGACCATGTAAAAAGCTAACATCATGCAAGTAATTTGTGAAGATTAATCTTTCATCTAGAATTACCAGTATGAATAACCATTCTCCACAAATTCTTCATAGCATTAATTAATTATAAATTCAGTTGTTTTAATTAAATTACTTTTAAATACAACATAAACTATATAATCTAGATCTTAAAACTTTAAAATACAATTTTGTTAAAGCTAATTAAATGGTCTTTTTCATTTTCTTTGAAGTTGATTAAAATCAATACAAATGTTAGTATTAGTTACAGAATATTTGTTTATTTACAGAATGGCATCTTATGTCAAGAGTATGTTCACTTCTTAGTACAATTTTATATTTGTATTGGTAGTATACAGTAGTAGTGAATACTGCTATGTACTTTAATCCTTTTCGAGACAGGTCACGGGTGAAAGGCCATGTCATCTCGTTTGTTGACTCGCATTCAAAATTTTATTAAACTACTATTTCATGAATATATATATCAATAAGTTTGGTATCAAACTGTAGAATATAATTCAAATTTTGGTACTATATATTACTCAATTTCTTAATTTAAAAACAAATATTAAAAACACATGGATAAACATTGATTTTCGTGTGTCACGTGGTATGTTGAATGCAGCACTAAGTATAGTTTCGAATGAATTAGAAATTCAAATTACTGATATTGACAAGCTAGAATAAAAAATAAGAGCGTCTTATCTTTTCAATTTCCTAAGATATTGCTCACGTAATAAATCAAACACAGTGGCACCCCGCCCACCTCTTTCTATTTTTGGAAATGCTCCCTTACATACACTTACTTCTATATATGACAAGAATAACTAATTGGAAGCTCAAAATGTCCCTCTAGTGGCTTTCCCACCCATTTTCATGGACTTGGCACCATTTCTTTCTTTTGTACCAATATTTCAATGAGGTAGGGTGTGTCTTTAGTCTGCTCGAAATTTCTTTTTTTTTTTAGACTAAAATACATCTTAGTTCCTAAGCTTGATAAATTATAGTGAAATACTGTGGTATCAATGTAGTAAATTATGATTTTTTAGTTATTCATATATATATATATATAAAAAACCTAAAAAATAATTTGTCTTCATATCCTCCACATGTAACTTTTTAAAGGTCTTGGCAACCTACGTCAAGCAGCAACCAAGTAC